TGGAAGATCAAAGTCCTAAGTTCAATTCTCCCTCTTTTAATATCACTTTTATTATATAAAAAATCAAAATCCATTATCACGTGTGCACATGAAACACCAAGTCTCCCCAGGCCGTGTTCCAAATCTCACATGCATGCCAAATTGCCAATGCCTTTAAAATAGCAAAATAAACTTTTGAATTTGAACCCCACATATATCATGCGTATCACATAGGGTTAGGGTAAACTCCGTTTGTTGTTGGGTCCTACCAGAAATGCACAAACCACACAAGCAAGAAAGATGCACGGCACTTCTCTCTCTCTCCTCATGTAAACCCGAGATGATGCAAGGCTTGCTCATGCTTACTCAAGAAGATCTCATACAATTATAAATAAAGAGAGCCGACCTACACTACACGTAATTACTTTTTCCATGTATACTAAAAAATTCACGAATGTGTATATCGATGTGGTGTATCTAAATTCACTCATATAATAACATATATATATTATATGTAAGTTCTAATTAAACTCGGTATTCTATATAATAAGAGATTGAATGATGTCTCATGATTAACATGTATTCGATATATGATGTAACATATGTTGACGTGGTACAAGGAACAATCCTGAACTAAATTAAGATCAATATTAGATTCAAATCAAAATCAAATTAATACACATATAATTTTGGCAAAACATCATAAGCATATATATGTCATATAATTCACAAACACTGGCGTATAAAACTGCCAAATATATTGCGGGCTTGATGGTTATTTACTTTGTCTTCCGTGTGCTATAAGGCAGTAAATGTAGCGTAACGGGCATATGGTCCTTTCTTCTTCCTGCATATTGACAAAGCAATTTCATCGCCATAACTAAAGTTACCCTCTCTTCCTCTATCTGAATAATATTTGTAGGAAAGTGGGGTCCATCTGATTGTATTGTATGGATTGTGGGGTCCATGTCATTCTCAGTTGATCATATTTTCCTCTTGGTCCTCGTTGGTAATTCCAATTAAAGTCCACATAATCCGTTGATCATATTTGAATATTTTCCTGTTTCCAGGAATTATTGAGGTTGATAGAAGTTTCCAACACTTCAATTTCTCGCTCTCTTTATTTTTTTGGATGAAATTTCTCACTCTCTTTTGACTTGTCAGCAGAGAGGATTTATAGCATCACCAACTGCTATATGTTAAATCACTACATTTACAGAGAGAAGAAAATTGTTCAAACCAAATATCAAAATTATTCCATAAATCGTCAAATTCAAATTTAACATTTTTCACCTGATATCGCCGTACGTTGTATAACAGAGACCTTTGCCCAAACAGTAAAGCTTACGTTTGACTGACATGTGGATGATGTATACATTGCTATATCTTTGTCACTTTCAGACCAGCAGTCAGCTTTAATTTCCACCAATATCAAACAACAACAGCAGCAACACACGACCAACGGTCAAGGTGTATGTTTTAAAAAAAACCTAACTGCTGCCCCCACTGAATGTTATTTTTTATTTATAATATTAACTTTTTCTTTTTCTTTTTTAATATGTTTTTGTGTGTATAAAATAATTCTTCATTGTACTTGTCTTGTATTTGTGGTTTAAGAATTTTCTTAATCTTTCGAAATGAGTGGCTCATCTAGCAGAACGTACGAGCCAATCACAGACTTCCACATTGTCTTCGCATCTAATATCAAAAAACAAAAAATGATCAATCCGTCATTACAATGAATTTAGCCAAATTGGTAAATATTTAATCAATCAATCAGCTTCATTATCAGAGATTTGTCACTTTCGCAAATTCCCGTTTTTAGTAGCCATGAAAAAGATCATATGGGACCAGCATTTTCATAACTTTTTTTAAATGTATTTTTCAGCATGCGGTTCAAGTTAATTGGTGGGAATTAATTGTGTATTGTCCTCACACTTTTCTCAGTGATTCATCATTTTTATTTGGTGGGAATGGATATTTTTAACATTTTTTTGGGGGACTCTTTGTATATTATATAGTGTTCAAAGAAAGTTAGCTGAATGAGTGGCTATTGAATTGAATGACAAACTTTATTAATTTCCTCTGTCTCAAATTTCAAAGTTCCATTAACATCACCGTACGAGCAGGTAGATATGTGGTTCAGAGTATTGTTGTTGCTTCTTAACTAGCCTCCAGGAGAAGCAGAAATAATTATATGAAAACGAACCGATTGATTATCAATGGGTTGTTCATTGGATTGGCTTAAGTTTTTGATGTGCTTTTAAGTGGTCTTAGATTCAAGCCTCCATGACACCTGTAGGCAACATTGTTTTAGATGAATTTAAAGTAATTTGTATTCCATTCAAATATTTTTTGGTGTGACTATCAAATCGCCTCATATTCCATTCAAATTTATACAGGCTCACCAATATTGAAGGCGAAGTGTGTCCAATGCATCCTTTTCAGGCTCAAATATTTTCTAGAAAGAGGCCCAAATTTTCTTTTGGAAACTAATGAGCCCATATTCTTAACACCATTTCATTAGTGTCCATATGGACTGGTTATGTTGGTTGGTGCGTTAGGATCTAGAATTCAATGTGGTATTAGTTATTCATTAAGATGTTTAATTTGGATATAGATGCACAAATTGATGTCTCAAACTATGGCTTCTTTGACCACATGAATAACTTTTGTGCAACTCTTTTATTTTGTTGCCAAACTTAATGCCGAAGTGCAATGAGAGTTCGAACATGAGATTATTGATATGTTAGTCAAGACATTGGAAGAGATGAGGAACCAGTAAAAATGATCTTCTAGCTAGTTAACTCGTTATGCTGAATCATTGTACTTGATCAAGACCATTTTTTACTTTCTGTTTTTCTCTGTGCGTGCGTCTTGTAATTTTGTTATAAAAAAAAAAAGTTTGATAATGATGATATTATTCCAATTAATTTTTACGCTAACATGCACAGTGTTTTTTTCTTCAGTCATAAACACTCAATTTATCTTTGTATTGTAGGTATGTGCCAACGAAACCTTTTGTCTTTGGTGTTTATCTTATGCTTAGGAATTAATTCTTTGGATGACCAACAGATACTATAAGCTCTCTCTCTCTCTCTCTTTTCTCTCTCTAATATCTCATGGCATTTTCCTATCAACTTTATGTTGTTTGTTGTCATTGATATAATTTGCATGTGAATGTACTTTCTGTATAAAAACTCACGTGAGCTATGCTAGTAATTTATACAAGAAACCTTGTATCTATTATCGTCTGCAAAACAGTGTGTGAGAATAATTATATATCATATATGGTATATAATGAACATGCACACCATAGCTAGCTAGTTGCATTTAAGAAATGATTCAAACTAAGGATGTGACAAATAGTGTACTGCTATAGGATTTGGAAAGAATATCATTGAGAATGTACCCCGAAAGCTTGTCCAATTAGGAATGTTACAAAAATGTATTATATTACGGAAATGTCACGAGAAAGAATATTTGGAGAAACTGGTGGAATTTCTCAGGATATATGTTAGACAAAATTAATCATCTTCAGACCAAAAGAGACATTTACAGCTCATCATATACGTAATGTATGTACGTGTTTTTCTGTTTGTAATTCTCTAGTGTTCTTAGTTAGTACTACCCAGATGATAAGCACCAAGTCACCCTCAATGTTTACTTCAATAATAATTTTATTTCCAGTACATGATTCACTGTGTGTCTATATATATACATATGGTAAATATACGTTATTATATCATATAGCTGTTATAGAATTTTGAGATGTTGATATGATTTGACATGAAAATAATACTGATAATGGATTTTTTGCTGTTTGGAATCCACTTAAGCACCAAGTCACCCTCAATGTTTACTTCAATAATAATTTTATTTCCAGTACATGATTCACTGTGTGTCTATATATATACGTTATTATATCATATAGCTGTTATAGAATTTTGAGATGTTGATATGATTTGACATAAAAATAATACTGATAAT